TACTTGAAGAGGCCAAAAAACAATTTCAAGAAGATGGCAAACTCAACGTGCAACTTCTTGACCAGGTTTGACTTTTAAAGCGCAAAGCACAATGTAATTCAGAAAAAGCCTTACTTAATTTTAGGTTGTGACCATGATGAATCGAGCCACCGGTGAGGAACAAAAACTAGCAAATATGATTCTTGTCGAGCTGAAAGAGAATCCTAACTCCTGGACTAAGGTAATGGGTGCATCCAGTTTGATTTCATATCGAGTACTTGCTTGATCTCGTTTTGTAAAAAAAAAATGAAGAAATCAATCATAAAAACCCACGTGAACTCGTCTAATTCAGTAGCTTTTGTGAACTCTGTTGTTATAACCAACAATTACATTTGATCTGAATGCGTTGTTGAACTGACATCCGTCTATAGCAACTACAAAGTTTCACCATATCTTCTTATTAAATTCAACTTCTGGGTGTACTTGCAAATATGGGAAATCAGTATAATCTTGTGAACGAGGAATCTGTATCTGTCTGACATATACTTCTGTGAAAATCCACCAGTTCAGTTGTGTGCGCTATCGTTTGATTGACCTGTTTATAAGAACTTAATCACTCTCTTTTATAGTTTCACGCTTTTGAGGTCATCTTCTCAAAATGCTCAATCATGCTTCAAGCTATCACTTATTCCCATTAAGACCCGATTAAAAGAAATTAAGATGACGTATTGATATAGTTGAATTTTGATATCGTGAATAACTCGAACTCAAATTAAGCATTGAAGATTTTGAAGCAGTTTCCTTTCCAATAATAAGCATTTATATCAGAGGTCCAAAACTCATACTACATAGAATATGGCAAAATATTTCATTCCATGAGCATAGCCGTAAAAGTCAATTCAAGTGTTTGTTCTGTAATCGAGATACCCTTTTGAATGACTATGGAGTATTTTTCACTGATTCATGATTGCTCAGATCTATCACATGCTTTGAGGCACTTGATTGAATTGCCACTTTGGTGCTTGGAACTTTTCAAT